CTTGGCGATACTGAAGTCACTACGGATGGAGCATCGGTTAATGCTTGCCTAAAGTCTCGCCTGTCTACGTCAGTATATATTTAGGTAGTTGTGGCGTCTCACTTCGGAGATCGTCAACCTGGTCTGAATAAAGATGTCTCCAACTGGATGGTAAATGCCAATGTGAATCTGGCAGATCCGAACTTCTACAAATCGAGACGAGGCAGAAGTCACGCTTTGGATGGGTAGTTTCTGGATATGTTTGCACCCCAGGGAAACTTCGTGTCATCAGCGGTCTTTACTCCCCTGAGCTCCTGCCCCTCTCAAGTGGCTGAGGAGGTTAAGCTGTAGAACCTGAACAATGATCTCGGAACGAGATGCAGACCACCAGGGACACGGTCACCCACGAGAGGACTACTATCAAGAACATGTTCGAGGCTGTGATGCTGGAGAAGCGTCGTCATCGGGATGACACGGCCAGGGATCGTGCTCGTGGTGAGATCGATAGCAAGCCTATGTGGGAGGACCTCAACCTGGCTAATGTCGATCGGAAGAAGATTACTGATGAACTGAACGATTTGACCAAGGAAATGGATCGTCTGCGCAAGCAGTTCGAAGTCACTTCCAAGGCTCTAGAGCAGGAGACACTGACGCACCTCCGCCAGACAGAGTAAAGCGATGCGAAGTTGAAGCAGTCGCTACAGGAGTTGCGCTCCCAGTATGAGAAGCAGATGCGAATCATCGAGTTGCTTTGACGAGGCTAAAGTCCGTCGTCTAGAAGGGGCTGCTGCACGCACATCCAACTCTACGCACAAGTCCATCGAAGAGTTGCACTCGACTCGTGTTCGTATTCACGGTCTAAATGCCAAGTCATAATTTTGAGCTCGTACGTGAATTGGTGCAGAAACTAGATAACACTCGCGAGCATCACGGCCAGGGGTGGCTTAGCTCGAGTAGGAGCTTATTCGACTACGCGATGAGATGTCCCATCGACGGCACGAATACCAGGACTTCAAGGTCTCTCTGGATTTGGAAGTCGCTGCTAGTGCTAAAGGAAATGTGAAGAACAAGGAGATCGGTCCCGAGAGAAAGTTCGTAAAGCATAAGGGAACAATAAGGGCAACGATGAGGTGGCCATTGGATGCTGGCAGATGAAACGTTTTGATCAACGAGAATGGTCTTTTGACCACCTACAAGTTCCATCGTTCTAAAAAAATGGTTCGTGTTGCCGTACTTAAGAAAGGCTGTGTCTGCCCCAAGGACTTTGTTGAAGGGCCAGGCTTCAACGGGGGGAGGATGTTGGACCAAGCAGCCAAAGCAAAGATGGATAAGCAGCGGTGGGTTTATCAGCAGATTCTAGTTTGCTTTGGTTCTTCCAATCTCGCATGCACTTAACTGTTACTTTGTAGCGCATGCGCTTTTGGAAGCTTTGTAGAACTGCTGTAGCTCAAAGCTTTTGTAGTTAAGCTGTGCTTCTTGCATTCGGCGTGGTTTAGTTGCGGAGTTCATTTGGTTTGATTTTAACTCGTAATACAAATTTGGAAATTGAACGGCCCCAATGTATTTATTCTGAAGCAATTAAAACTCTTAGTTGCCCAACAGTGCCCTAGCCACAACAATAGAGTTGTTGTCATTTAGTCTTTAATAGTCTTTTAGTCAACGGCAAAATATTCATTCAGTCGTTTTGGGAAAAAGTTTTAAGGTAGGATAGGCCATTACCCGAGGAGCTGTATTCACTTTGGCTAGGACTGGCCGTTTAGCTAAGCATGGTTGAAAACATCAAGTTCCGGAGATAGCCGTGTTGCCAAATGCTTCCGTGCAACTTTACGCTTTCTGTGATATAAGCATGGCTGCTGACGGAACGTGTATTTATTTGAAAGCACAAGCGATTGGATTGGTAACATTTGACATGCATTGTTCAAAGCCAAGGTAGCACGTTTAAAACCCTAACTATACCTAGGTTGGAGTTATCAACTACGATATTGCTGGCAGAGCTCGTCTCCAGTGTAAAGCACATATCCGACATACCCTGTGATTCACACTGGTGGTCTGATTCATCAACCATGTCGTCTTCAATAAAGAAGCCCCATTAAGTTTTAAAATATTAGTGTCCAACAGAACACAGCAAATTCAAGAATTGATGAAAGGAATGGCACCACGTTCGAATATGCTTAAGCTCTACGGATCTTGTTCTAGAGGATGTTCTTCCAGTACGCTACTGGCTCAAGCCTCTGGAAAAATGGAGAACCATTTCCATGATCTTCCGGAACGCAAAAACGTTACATTGTTGCATCACATTGGCTGCGGTGGATCTCTCCGGCAATAGCAAGTATTAAAATTTTTATGAAAAGCTTTAACGTGTATTTCCTGATATACATCGCTTAATTTCCCCCTTCAGATTTAGACTAGGGAGCCACGAAAGGAGACATCTTGCAAGTGCTGACACCACCGCACTGTGTAAAGGCTCCACGACTCAGGCGATGGCAGCAAATGGTCAAGGCGCAAGAGATCTTGTGGAAAAAGTTGAGCACAGAGTGTGTACAGTTTTGTACCCTTGTATTTGACTAACAAAGGGTCATTGTAAGAGGGGTTCCCAGGCAATGCAAAACACTAACAGATAAATTCACAAAATTCACGTTTATTAATATATTTACATATGTAAATGGCGTCCCGCGTTAGATGACTGTCTTTGCCCACTTCCCGCTTTTGTTCTCGCTCCCACGCATCGTCCCGAAGTGCGAGAGCGATCAGCTATCGCTCCCCGCTTCCAGTACACTGGGACAAGCAGTAAACTTAACATGCCGCCTGCCAATGCTAGACCTAGCATGAGAAACATTCGCTTGCCCGGTTCATCCTGGTTGTGGGGTAAAGTTTAGTATGGGAAAGTAAACAAGAAGTGTGCGCAAGAAACAAGTTAATTATAATTGAGGTGTGTATGTGAGGGCGCTTATGATCGGATCGGTTGTGGACAAAGTTTGGACACCGAACGCTTCAACCGGCCGTGCTTGGTTTTAAACGTAACAACCAGAACCAACGTATCCGTCCCCGGGTCTAGCTCGACGACGCGCCCCAGTAGCTTTTGCGACGGCGGAAAACGATCGTCCTTGATGATGACGAGGTCGTCAAGCTGGAGCCCTTCAGCCTCGCGGTACCATTTGAGTCTCTGCTATCGATGTGCTAGCCAGTCCCGACTCCAAGCCTTCCAGAAATGACGTAACATTGCCTGCTGGATCAGGAACTGCTCCGCGAAGGACTTAGATTGTGGGTGAAACTCAGGAGGCGCATGCAGCGAGTCACCAATCAAGAAATGAGCCGGCGTGAGCAAATCTTGGCCGTCTGCGTCCGCTGTAAGAGGGCAAAGCGGTCGTGAGTTGAGGCATGCTTCTATGCTTATAAGCACCGTAGCCAACTCCTCATAGGTGAGCCTTCGATCCGCAAAGACCCTCTTCAGGTGATGCTTCACCGACTTCACGTTAGCCTCCCACGGCCCGCCGAAATTGGGCTACTGAGGAGGATTGAAGTGCCATAAGCTGATCGTAATCTTCTTGGAGCTTACCGTAGAACTTTTTTATTAGATTGACCGCCCCCACAAAGTTGGTCCCGTTGTCACTATAGAGGTGCTGAACCAATCCTCTCCTCCCGGTGAATCTGTCAAGCGCGAGCAAAAAAATTCCGTGGTGAGGCCTGTCACCGCTTCCAAATGCACTCCCTTTGTTGCAAGGCAAATGAAAACGGCGATGTACCCCTTGTAGAAGCTGGTGCCTCGCAACCGTGCTGCCTTGAGCTCTATAGTGCCTGTGTAGTCAACTCCCGTTGCAACGAATCGTCGACTAGGGGGGTTGACTCGATGAAGCGGCAAGTCTCCCATGAGCCGAAGCCATTTCCGCACAACTCTTCGAACTGCCTGTTTCATTGAAAACGATTCCGGTTGCACTATGCGCACTATAGCCCCTTAAGCAAAGTCGAGCTCTTTAATGGTTAGAGGCCCGATGCGCCTCTCCCCTTGCCGACAGCATTGTGCCTGAACCGCAACGCATAGACCGTGACTCGTACAGCCCGACTGAATGTAGAAAATCTTCCAACGAACGACGGAAGCGGGACTGTGTTGTGAACTCGTACTTTGGCCGCCTTTGCCTCTAGTGCGGCATCGTTGGTGTCGACCTGGTCGAACTCCATAGAAGGCCAGTCACTCGGACTGCGTGTAAGCCACTCAGGGCCTCGCCACTACAAGCTAAAGCCTTTCAATTCACCCGGAGACAGTCCCCTTGTCGCACAGTCCGCTGGATTCTCAGCCGTGCCCACATACCTCCATTTCGAGGGCGAAGAATGATCCAGAATGAACGCGACCTTGTTGGTCACGAACGTCTTCCACCTAGTGATGTCTCCGTACAGCCAGTGTAAAAGGATTATGCCATCCGTCCAGTAGAAAGATTCGTGTGACCTCTGGAAACAATGTCATCCACAAATGCCTCGTCCTTCGCCAACTGCTGGATGACCCTGATGGCCGTGAATGGTGCAGACGCCGTCCCAAAGGTTAACGTTGACAAGGCGAAAACGCTGATGGACACATCCGCCGCCAGCCATAAAATCCGCTGGTATTGGGAGTCTTCCGGATGAACATCTATACAACGATACATCTTCTAGTTATCCGCTGCAAAAACGAAACGAAATTTCCGCCAATTCAGTATGACGTGCGACATGTCGTTCTGAAGGGCAGGCCCAGTGCACAACACGGCGTTTAAAGATCTTCCGTTGCTAGTCTTTGCGGAAAAAGCTTCTGTGTTTAAGCGACTGCAGCTCATTCTTAAAGACCGCATGATGAGGAGGCACGCAGGAAGCCACATGCCTATCCGTAGAAGTACGCTTCAGCGAACTGCTGTCACTGCCCACCGCCGGCGCTATTTGCTTGAGGGCAAATTACCCCTCGATCTCCTCGACATTTTTGTTCTACCGCTCCGGACTGCTCGACAGACGCCGTTCCAACTGCAAGAACCTATTCAGCGCCATCTGATGAGATCTTCCTAGAACCATTGTCGGATCTCCCTGTGTGCAGGTGCACTAGGAGTCGGGTCCACAGGCCGGACAGGATGCGGCTGCACACCGCTCATTGCCAGCCAGTGCTGCGATTCCCCGTCCAAAGCTTGAACGCAGCGGAATGCAGCCAGACAAGCATTGACCATGCTTAGCATCGACCGTATTAACTCTGTGTTGTCCTTCTGTAGCCTAGGCAACGCGTAAATGGCATTCATGTGGTGTGCCGAAACGAGGCGAGGATTTTTGAACTTCTTGATCATCAATCCCCAAGCCACCGAATAGTTCCCTTCCGGGAGCTGCATTTGACGGAAGTCATTATCGTGGTCCCTCGGCAGCGGCTCCTTGAGAAAGTGCAACTTCTGCACACTACTTAGATTGGCGTTGTTATGGATTAGGCCCGTGAAGGAATCATAATAGCCTGGCCAATCGACACACGCGCCGGAGAACTTTGGAACCGACATCTGGAGCATGTTCCGAACTGGAGCATGTAAAACCGAACTTGTCTACTAACTCAGTTATGTATAAAAGAATCCACCCCAAGACGAAGCGAAGATCATCGACCGTCTCCAAGGTTCGAAAAACTGTCATCTTGCGCCTATGTATCGCAGTTCTCCTCTTCCGTGATTCGCAGAGCCGCCGGCTTGTAGTCTTGTTGCAGCTACGAATCCGTTATGCACAAGAATCCAGCCCAAAAGAAGCGAAGAAAACGTTCAAAAAGGTCCAGAAACTTCTGTAGCTGCGTCTATTTATCACCGTTTTCTTTCTTTTTCACTTTTCGCGGTATGCAGAGCAGACTTGCATACTCCATGTTAGAGACCGCGCAAGCCTATTTGGATGAGCCTGTAGCTTGATCGTATATTTCGCTTTTACATTTTCGATTTCGTCCTTAACAGATCCAACATTTAAACCTCTGTGAATGTTTTCATTCTGAATGTTCCCTTGTGCGCCTGTTATATTTCATAGTCTCTTTGATTAAGCTCACTGTATTACTTTTAGGTTGCTAACACATACGATTCCCCATAGGTCGGAGTCATATTTCCAAATTGGCTTTAGAACTGCGTCGTACAGTACCTTGTACTCCAATTTTAACGGAGAACCGTGCTTCCTTTTAATTTAAGTTGTGTTCTCTTAGCTTCAATGTGCTTTCGCCAAGTATGTCGTCTATCAAGGTGGACTCCAAGATATGTTACTTCAGTTGTTTGTGGAATATGTATGTTGTTCAGAGATAGTGGGACGCAAGTTTGTCTGTTTAGGTTAAAGGTTACTTATTTACTCTTTTGCTCGTTAACCTTTAGCGTCAACCTATCCATTTCTCTAGAAGCCCCATATGAGCAGATAACTGTTGCGTTGCTCTTATGGGGCACTTTGATCGCCTTAGAATGGCAGTATCATCAGCAATTGATGCCGTTGTTGTGAGACTGGTTATCGGAAGGTCTGCTGTGTTAATTATATATAGTGTTGGTCCAAGCACGCTACCTTGAGGTACTCCTGCTTCAATTAGATATTATTCGGAGAGGGAATCTTTACCTCGCACTGCGAAACTTCTATGCACAATACATGACTCCAGTATTTAATGGGTGTTCAGTGGAAGCAAGATTTTAATTTTATAAATTAAGCCGCCCAGCCAAACGCGGTCGGAGGTCCAGAAATACTGCGGAACAATACTCTCGACTTTCAAATGTATTTCGTTTCTTGGAGTCATATTGATGACTGACATGCTGATACGTGCATGTACTGTACAGATCGGCAATTCTATAATAATTTTATGGAAGATTAAATCGTGTCATGGCGCTTTATTTTTTTCTTGAGCCCTTATAATTTTTATCAATTCTCTTGATTGGAATATGATAGGCAGGGTATCCTATATGGTATGGAATCGCTTGTGGTATCGTTGCATATCATGATCGGTATGCCAGTACCGCCATGAGCCTTGCCATCAGGATGGTTTGTTTCATCAAATATGTAGTTATTAAGGTGAAAATAGTTTTTGTTTGTTAGGTGAGTCTCTGATATAAGCATGGCGTCAATGTCATACTGATCTAGGAACTGCGAAAGCTTGTTTTTGTGCTGTCAAATGCAGTTCGCATTCTAGAAACATATTTTTAAGGAAACCATCTAAGAAGATTTCTGTTTAATTAATAGCTCCAAAAGGAGATTTTGAGAGCGCAAAAGTTCCTGCAGCGTTTGCTGTATTGCTGTATTGCATTACGTTGGTTATACTTAACAGTATTGCTTCAACGCCGTTAGGCAATTGCGAGTTTGCATTTGTATGGTGGCCAGTATTTTCTGGATTCTGGTTCAATATTGGTTGCCGCACTGTATCAGCAGTGGTTTGCTGACCTGTCAGTTTAGCTGCTGAGGCGTAAGTCACGTTGCTATAACTTAGCGCCTGTGCAAAAGAAACTCCTGGGGTCGTGGTCGATGGTATATATGGATAATTGTTTCGTGTTACAAGATTTCGAGCTGCAATTATACGTTGGCCTAGTCAACCTTTCAACTCTTTATAGGTAAGACAACATCTGTAAATTGCAATGTGGTTTCCACCACAATTCCCCCTTTTTTGCAGAGTGGTTTTCCTTGTTTACATGGCAGGCCTCAGTTGAATGTGGATCCCCGCAGGCAACGCTGACTGCGCGTAGTGTGCAGTAAGTTTTCGTGTGGGCGTGTTCCTGTCAATTCATCGCACAGGCCTATTCCGCTTATGGGGTGCCTCAACGGTGATCCTACGGTGCAATAGGTAATGAAGGTTATATATAGGGTGAACTTCATTGTTTTTCAAATGCATACTTTCAGGCTCGAACTCAACCTTGAACATTGGCTGTGGAACTCTGTTCTTATTTAATATATTACTTGCCTATTCGACTTTAAAACTATTTTCTTTAAGTCCAGCTATAATCTAAAAGAAAGGGACTGTTGCTTCGATACCTTAAATAACTACATTTGCCCTTGCAACTTTTAAGTTGGTAGGTATAGAAGTTAATTTTTCCGTTGTCAAGGTGTTTGCCCACTGATCGGTAATCTTTCTCGTCGTCCAGTTGTATTTTTGTTTCATTAATATTACTTCTTTTGATGGACTTTTCATAGAATTTGTTTGCTCCAATTTGATCAGTTATTTTTTTAACCAATTCTTCACTTCTTCTTCAAATTGTTGGTGGCCTTAGTTGCTTGGCTTTAGGTGTTTGAGCGTTATTATCATCATCTTTAGGGTCACTAAGAATAGAAAATCGGTTTCCTGTTAACGCATTGTTTGGCACAGTGGCTACAGTTTTCTTGTTACATTTTGATGCTTTTTTTTTTTTTAGCTGATTGTGAGCTTGTGAGCCTGTTTCCTGGTCGAAGTCACCGTTTTAAACGAGGGCATTGTGCTGGTCGTTGTTGTAATAAGCGTTATTTCTGATTTACGTGCCGACGATCGACTTATTTTTGCTGTCGAAACTTGCTCTATATGGTTTTTCGAGAGAGATATTTGGAAAAAAATGTATTATCGCTGATATTAGTAATTATAACACTTTATATTGAACATTTCCAATGCACTTGGGCACAAGTACACATGCGTACACTGTGAGCGTCTTTTCTCGAAACAGAATTCGGCTTTTGTGGAGTGTCTTAATTACACGGCGGAGCAATATAAAAAAACGTCTGTTGTCACTGACTTTAACTCTGTCCCTTGAAACAACGAAAAAGATGACCACAGAGTTTACAGCCCCAACAGGAGGAAGATGTTCGGAGCAGAAGTAACCATAACTTCGTAAAGTTTAAATGCCACTGGCTAATGTTTATTGTGATGGAGTTTTATAAACAAATGATAACGAAAAAGATTACCACAGAGTTTATAGCTTTGTCTGCCCGATCTTTCGATTCGCTTTCGCACTTATCTATCACTTTACTTATCTTTTATATTCTCTTATTTTTGTATGCAGAGCGGTCGAAATGCCGTCGCCTTTTTACGATCAGAACTAACGAAAGTTTACGCTCGTTGCAAATAAAATTGGCATATCTCAAAATAGTAGTTAAGGGCAGTTGTGTTCCCGGCACATCCGTAAGATCTGTCAATCTCGTTAGCACTAGCTAGGAAGGCAGAAGTCGGCATCGAACGAAGCGTTTTTGCTGCAACCAATTCCACGTCCATAAAACGGAGGAATCAGATACCTATTTTCCTTAGAATAAAAGCAATAATTTTTAGCGCAGACAGGACTACTGTATGGAGACTGGCAACCTAGTTTAGAATCCGGAACTCATGGGCTTAGATACATCATATTTAAGTCTAGACAGCTGACAAACTTACACAGTTCGTCATTACGTAGCCACTGCACTTCGACACAAAGTTTTGCAGTGCAATGTCTTAATCGAAAGATGGGACAGGTCGTCCATGGTTGCGTAAGGAATTATCTCACGGTTATGTCACTGCTCATGTGGGGCATCATAATCTTAACTTCGATTTAAGTTATAAACTAATGCTTTAATTTGAAAAGGTTTAAGGAATTAACAAAAGAAGATAATAAATATAAAATGTTAACAGCAATATGATGGGCACTTCGCGGCTTGTGAACGGTGGATTGGTCGCGGGCGGCGGCTAAATTGGTTTTACTGCGCAGACATTATTTAATACATTTTCCATGGTTTCAGCCTTTTTCTTTGCGGACGGGCTAAGTGTTGGAATCTGAAACTATTATCCCTTCCTGTATCTTAGCATTTGTTTAGACAGATAAACAGATTTTTAAAGATAAATCGAACGGAGATGTATAGACTCTATTTTTGAGGGAAGTCTTCGACACTATTCAAAGAATACAAATCTAAATTATTAACAAATACTCATATTGGTTCTTCTAAAGTACTTTCAATGTTTACGTCTGTGGACAACTTAATTTTATTAAAACAATATTATTCCTTGCTTTGTAAAACATTTTCAGAACTTGCCAAGAGGACGCCACTTTATTTGGAAGCAGCATGAAAATGCCCACCTTTCCCACCTCGACACGCACTTTATACATTCTTAAAAGTGAAATAACACGAAGCTTAAATGTACAATAATATTTTTTAAAAATATGAAAAACTCGGACTTATCAAAATTAAGCAAATCAAGGATCTGGACCAGTTTTTCAAAGCCATTTTATTCAGTAAGTTAAATTATTATAATCCCTTAGCTTAAAAACAACTTATGTATTTCTGTGTAATAATTATTCAGACTGCAGTTCTAGCATCTGTGTCAAAAAATATAGTTAAAATCATTTCTAAAACAAGAATTGGATCAAGCACGACGAAATTCAGATCCACTTTCGCTAATCCTTCTGTTTCAAATGAAGATTCGGTAAGTAATAGATGTTTTAAGCCACGCTTTTCACGCTTAAAGAAAAAACATTCAAAAATATGTATGATTACTTATAACTTTATATATCTCTTACATTTTCTAAGATCGACTCGGCTATTGAGCCTGGTCAGGAGTATATAAAATTTATAGATTCGGAAACGA